TAGATTAAATAATAAAGTAAAATAAAATAAATAAATAAAACAAATATAATATGAAATAAATATAAAATAAAATATAATAAAATAAATACATTAAATCATTACATTACATTATATTGCATTAAATTACATTGCACTGCATTAAATTGCATTACATTAAATTACATTACATTGCATTAAATTAAATTAATTGCATTACATTTTTAACCCCTTTTTACCTGTGTCCCCCCTTCCCCCCCAATCCGCCGCTTGGAGCGAGGCCACGCTTCCCACCCCCCCCCCCCCCCCCCCGTGGGTAACGCGGCGGACCCAACAGGGCGGGGGGCGAGGGGGGGGAGAAGCTCCCTCCCAGGTTGCAGAAAGGCGATCGGGCCTCGCTGGGCAAAGGCGAGCAGCGCTGCTGGGCCTTTAACCCTCCCCCGGGCCCCCCCCCCCCCCCCCCCGCTTCCCGCGTCTCGTGGCGCGCCCCGTTGCCTTGGCAACCCGGGCGTTTTCTGGGCAGGGAGGGGCCCCAAACCGGAGGGAGGAGGAGGAGGAGGAGGAAGAGGAAGAGGATGGTGGAAGAGGAGCGAGAGGGTAAGGGAGAAAAAGGATGCGGGGTGGGGGGGGGACCCCGCCTGAAACCCGCCCCCACCCATAAGAGACGCCCAGAAGGGCAGGGAGGATGCTTGAGATGATGCCAAAAAAAATAGGGTTGCCATGGAGACGGCCAGGGAAGAGATGCTGAGGAAGGATGCTGGTGTGTGTTCCCCCCCCTTTGCACCTGGGGAGGGGGGAGGTTTGCCAGTGGGAGGGGGAGATAGGAACTCATCATCCGCCCCCCCCCAAAAGGGGGGGGGGGGGGGGGGGGGGGGGGAAGCATCCTTGAAGGCCTTCCTTAGCAACCGTCTTTGTTGTCGTGGGGAACGGTTACCGTGGCGCCTGGCAACCCATTGGTGGGGGAGGGTGGGATGTTTTTTTGGGGGGGGGGGGGGGGGGTTTTCTCTGCCCTCCCCCTTCACCTGCGGGGGGAGGGGGGGGGCTGGGAGCCAAATAACCCGACCCCCCCCCCCCCAATAAGGCAATATCTCCCCCAACCTCCCCACCCCCAAATTCGGGGGCTTAGATAGAGAGCTACCAGGTCAAGCCACCAAGCTTGAGGACTAGCGCCATGGGCAGACCAGGGCTAGTGGGTTTCCCTGAAAAGAGCCTTGAAAAGAGATCCGGATCGGTTTGTTGGGGAGCGAGACTGGATTCCTCCCCCCCTGCCCCCCCCCCCCCGGAAAAAAGGGGTTTGGCGGGGTTTCCCGAACTCCGGTCTCTTTTTGCAAGCTGAGCCTGGAGATGGGGAGGGGGATATTTGAGGGAGGGGCCGTCCTCTTTGGTCCTTGGTTAAAATTTTGTTTTGTTTTGGAATTTCATTTTGTTATTTTATTTTTTATTATTTTATTTTTATTATTTTATTTTCATTTATTTTATTTTATTATTTTATTTATTTTATTGTATTTTATTATTTTATTATTTAATAATTTGATTTGATATGATTTTAGGATTTTAGGATTGTTTTATGTTTCATACTTTATTATATTTTACTTTATATTTTATTTTATTTCATTTATATTTTAGTATTTTAGGTTTTTAGTTAAGGTTTTAGTTTACTTTATTGTTTTACTTGTATTATTTTTATTTTATTACTTCATTTTATTTTATTTTAATCCTGTATCCTTTTGTTTTCATATTTTATTATATTTGACTTTACCTTTTATTCTATTTTATTTCATTTATATTTTAGTATTCTATTTTATTTCATTTATATTTTAGTATTCTATTTTATTTCATTTATATTTTAGTATTCTATTTTAGGTTTTATTTTACTTATTTTGCTTTTTTATTATTATTTTTATTTTAATTTTTCATTTTATTTTATTGCATTTTAATCTTGTATTATTTTATTTTATTTTGTTTATATTTTAGTATTTTATTTTATGTTTTTATGTTTTGGTTTATTTTATTTTTTTACTAAGAAAACTTTATTTTATTATTGCATTTTATTGCACTTTAATCTGGTATCATTTTGTTTTATTTCATATTTTATTATTTTATTCTATTTTATCTTTTATTCTATTTTACTTTACTTTATGCTTTAGTATTTTATATTTTATTTTACAATTTTACTTTATTATTTTTATTTGCCTTTCTTATTTCATTTTATTATATTATTTTACATGTTATTTTTTTATATTTTCTCTGGTATTATTTTATACTTTAATTTTTTATGTTATTTTATATAGTCTATATTTTATTTTATATTTTTTATTCTTTTATATTTTTATTTTATTTTACTTTTTTATTTTGTATTATTTTACCTTCATTTTGTTTTCATTTTATTATATTTTATCCTTTTATTTTATTTTATCTTTTATTATCCTTTTTTATATTTTATTTTATTGTATTACTTCATTTTATTATTATCCAATGTATATGCTGCCCATCTCAGCATCCAGCTTTCTGTTTCTAATGTCCCCTCATCTTTCTGGGACATCAAACAGAGGGTTCCTCCCATGAGGTAAATCCAACCGGCTGACGGGCAGTTCCAGTCCTGCCTTAGGCATTCTGGGTCCATGGGTCCCATGTGATCCCCAAGCAAAGTCAATCGGGAAGGCAGATTCGCTGAACGGCCATGCAGCAGGCTTGAAAAACTTGCCATGATTGTGGCAAGAAAAGTCGTAAAACAGGGCAAAACTCACTGAAGCAATATCACGGCAAAGCATCGGAATTCTGGCCTGGGTTGCCGTCATAAATAGAGGACCATCTGTCCCCCTGACACGGGTATCTTTTTGCACCTTTCCCTTCCCTGCAGGAGGCATGGCTTAAATCCAAGAGGTTCTTTTGCGGTCGCAAAATGGAGAGTTAGAGAAGCGTAGGTCAAGCCGAACCCAACCTCTTCCGAGACTTGTCCGGCGGAACCGAAATGGACTTCCGGAGCGAGAAAAGCGATGATTTGGACCACAATGGCAAGATCACCGTCCAGCTGCTAAAAAGCCAGACGGGAGAATTCGATCTCGAGTCCATCCTGCTGTTGAAACTAAGAGGTCTGGGGATTTTGGAACTGGGCTGCCTCGGCGAGTGCGCCAGCTTGGAGTGGCTCGACCTGTCGGGCAATGGCCTGACCCACCTGGGCCCCCTCGCCGCGCTCAAAGCCTTGACTGTGCTCAATGTCGCCGCCAACCGTATCTCGAACCTGGAACCGCTGAGTGGCTGTGAGAGCCTACAGAGTCTCAACGCATCCGGCAACCAGCTGCGTAACCCGCAACAGCTGCAGTGCCTGACCGGGTTGCGGCATTTGGACAACGTGCGCTTCCACAACGGCCCAGCCCGGCTCAGCAACCCCTTCTGCGCCACCCCTGGCTACCCGGCCATCCTGGCGGAAATGTTTCCGCGGGTGAAAGTGATTGACGGTGAGCGGGTGTCCGGGCGGGGTAGCGAGCTCTACCAGCTCTGCAAGGATCTGGACCGCTCGCTGCAGCGTTGCAACAACAGTGGGGGGCTCAGCGAGATGGCCAGCCGGGCTCAGCCCTGGGTGGAAGAGGGCTACTGGGAGGTCCAACCAGCCAGGAGAAGCTCCATCATGGAGGAGGCCTACAAGCAGTTCAGCGAGGCTTTGCTGGAGTGCCGGGAGTTGAGCAAGCAGGCTGACCACAGCATCAACCAGGCTGAGCGGGCGCTCGGCGGGCGTCCCGATGCCAACTCATATGTTTTTTGAGGCTGCTGGCTGCCGAGCATCAGATGCGCTGGTGGAGGGTTCTACGATGACTGCCGATGGCCAACTCACCACAGCCAACTTGCCATGGTCAACTCTCTATGGCCAACTAGCCATGGCCAAATCTCCCCAACTCATCACAACCAACTTAACACAACTAACTAGTCATGACCAACTCGTTATGGCTAACTAACCAAGGTCAACTCTCTGTAGCAAACTAGCCATAGCCAACTCACCATGGCCAACTCTATGGCCAACTAGCCAATGGCCAACGCTCTATGGCCAATTCCCTATGGCCAACTCTTTAGAAAGGTTGCCAAAAGTGGGACGGAACGAAATGGGAAGGCCAAGAATTAAAATCATTTTCAAATGGGTAAATCCTTTGAAAGAACTGCGTTGAATTGTTCCGCAGGGAGTTGACCATTGCTGATTGGTCACAGAGAGTTGGCCACACCGAGTTGGCTACAAGGAGTTGGCCCGTGCCACTGGGGAAGGGCCACCACATATTGGGAGGAACACTTGCCCCACCCTTCCCTTCACCCCTCTGCCCGCAACTCATTTTTCCCGACCCCCCCCGTCAAAAAAGGGAGGAGGACCCTTACCCAACCGCTGGCTCTTCCTCTCGGCTTCCTGCCAGTGTTGGGGGGGGGAACCTGCAAGGACACCTATGCCATCCCCCCCCCCCCCCCCCAAGGACTGTGGTCACTTCCCAGGTAGCCAGAGGTGAGATTCAGCCGGTAACATAAATTTTGACCAGTTTTGGAGAACCGGCAAATACCACCTCTGACTGGCAGCACCCACCCTTTCCCGTCCTATCTTCCATCGATTTTTAGCTGAGCTGATTCATGCGGCAAAGCGGCTCAGCTGAGCTAAAGCCAGCTCACCTGAGGGCGATCTTCAAGTGCTGCACGCGCGAAGCGATGCGCGAGTGCAGTGTGCGCACACGAAGCGACCTTAGAGGGCAGTGCATGCACACACAAAGCATGTGCGCGAGGCTTGCGGGACCAGTAGCGTGCAATTTGGAATCCCGCCACTGCAGGCAGGCCTTTGGTTTGGCAGCATGGTGGCCTCCGTGTATGTGTGTGGATATGTGGGCCCTGGTGGGCCGGCTCCCAAAAGCCCCCTTTCCCTAGGCTACTTCACAAGGTAACTACGATTCTTTGTTCCAGATTAATCTTGGCTTTCCCCCTTAAGCAAGCATTATGAATCTCAGCCCGGCTAGCACAGCTGCTTCGGCTCTTATCTTGGGGTGGGCGGGGCCAGGATGCTCCTCCACCCGCTAGAGATTTCACAATTTTCACATGACAACCCATTAAAAACAAGCAAACAAACTTTGGCATGTTGGCAAGTTTTGGTCAGGTGTCCACAAAACAAAAAAAACGGGCCAGAGATTTGCAAACGGGAAACTCCACGTTGCAAGGAGACCTAGTCAGACCTTGCTATCCGAGGTGCATTTGCACAGCCCTCACCGTTCTCCTCCATGGGCACTGCACCGCTGCACCGCTGCATTGCATGTTGTTGGTCTCCCGCCCAGTCGTAGACAGGCCTGGCCCGTTTCCCCAATATTGCGGAGGGTATGTCTTATCCCTTGGTCCAAAGTTGTTTTGAGAGGGTTTTTTTTTGTCTTTAAGGGGTTTCGCTTCTCTTCCGAGAAGCTTCTTCCGTTCTAACTAACAGTTCAATTCTTCAGTCAGAACTTGAAGAAGCTTCTTGGACGAGAAGGGAAACCTCTTCAAGGAAAAAAAATACCCAAGCTCTGATTAGATGGTTGGGGAACAGAAGGATTGATAGCTGGTCATTTGCAATGAGAGCCGTTGAGGTTATTTGGAGGTTTGTTGCCATCTTTGGGGTCATGCCTGAGTAATGCAAATGGGGATGGAGGCTTCTTGGAATGGTACTTGGCAAGATTTGCACTACTTTGCGCGACTCGGTTGACCTTTAAGACGCCGACAAACAGCGACAAACCTCCCAGCAGCCTCAACGGCTGTCTAAAAAGGATGCAAATGACCAGCTGTCTGCAAGGAAGATCAATCCTTCCGTTCTCCACCATCCAATCAGAGTTTGGGGGGGGGGTTCTTTCCTTGAATAGGTTTTCCTTCTCATTGCAAGAAGCTTCTTCACTTCTGACTGAAGAAGTCAACTGTTAGTCCGAAGGGAGGAAGCTTCTCGGATGAGAAATGAAACCTTTTCAACCAAAAAATAAAAAATCAAGAAAGGCCAGTTGCACCTTTTGGCACAACCACAACTTGGAATGACAAGAGAACCCCCATAGACATCTTACACCCCGTTTGCTTCCGGCGCCATTGTGCATGATGGACCCCCCCACCCCCAGGATGCACCCCCGTCCCCTGGGGAGCAGAAATGAGAGGTGTGATGAAAACTCGACTTGCAATTTTATTAAGGGAATCGAAAGGGAGGCGAGAGTTGGATGCTTCTGGAAGGTGGACTTCTTTCGGAGCGGGGAGATGTGCGGATACCCGCTGGAGGCCAGTCCGCCGAGTCTGCGCAGCTCTGTATTGGGGAGAGGGAGAGGAAAGGGGGGGGCTTCAACAGTCCCTCCAGATAGCAAGCGGCCCCCCCAAACCCCCAGAGATTATGGGAGGGCAACGTAGAAGTAGGGATAGGTGGGTGGATGGATGGATGGATGGATGGATGGATAGATAGATAGATAGATAG